TCTCTCTCTCTCTCTCTCTCTCTCTCTCTCTCTCTCTCTCTGTATGTGTGTGCGCATGTGTGCACGATCGTACGAATGTATGCACACGAGTGTATGTTTTGTCACCACCATCACCATCAACAACATCAGTAGCAGCAGCCAGCTTTATTGTGACTTTACAATATCTCTATTTGTTGTTGTGGCTGAAGTTATTTAAATGAAACCGTTTGTCTGCCCTTTCGAGACTTAGCCCTGAATATTTGGAAGTTGTTCCAAAAATAGGACAAGGATTACTAAACAATAGAAACGAAAGTGGCGAATCATAATTTGTATCCCTAACGCTCAAATGAGGAAATTCACATAAATCAAAATCAAAATAGTTTACTTTCGTAAACCAAAGACAACGTTAAAACGAACATTATCATTAAATGTCAGTTTTTTAAAAATTCCTAACTCAAAACGCCCCGCAAAACACTATTTCTGTAACTAAGTTCGTCAAGATATCAGAGACGAGAGGGAAAACATTACAGAAAAGATGGACATTTTAATCATTCGGGCCCTCTTGGAAAGACCAGTGATCGTCAATGTCTTGGTTAAAAGAATCAAACTGAAATTATAATTCGTGGACTTGAATGCGGAGTTAAGGTTAAACAAATAGCGTTTTTGGTCTTGTCTTTTCACAGCCACTGGGACCATGGCCCCTCCCACAGCCGCCAGCGGTGCTTGTAAGTGGATGTCGTGCATTGTATTGTCACTTAATTCTTAGTACAAAGTACGCCAGTTTAGCTTGTTTACGGCTTCACCCAGCAGTCTACACTCATTGCTTAATTCAATCAAACCTCTGCAAAATCATCCTAACTATAATCAAACAGTTAGAAGTTTACTGCTTGATTAGTTAACTACTTGGTTAATTAATTTCTACTCAGTCTGGTGTTTATTACATGCAGATCGGTTAGCTAATATAATAGGAACGGAGTTTAGGGAAGTCTGTGATGCTGAAAACTTGGATGATAGAATTGACAGGAGGATTTCTGTAATGGGTGACCATTATGAAACAGAGTACAATAGAGTATTAGGGTTTGGGGTAGGGTTAGGGTGTAAGAAAGGGGTAGGGGTTGGGTTAGTGATAGGGTTTGGGGTAGGGGTAGGGGTAAGGGTAGCGATAGATCTAGATCTGTTCTTTCTTATTGTATTTGTTGGGGTGGTCGCTCGTTACGGAAGTCCTTCCAAATTGGCTGAGTACAAAGAAGGGATAGTATGCTGTATTTTAAGAGTAACTGCATCCATCTTTTAATACATGTTCTTGATTTCACTTATTGTAAATGTTTTCAGTCTTCGTCGACGCAGTTTGCATTTCCAGACCATTGAGAAGATAGGGTGCTTCGACACTACTTTAACTACCTATGACTGTGGTCAAAGAATGTGCTACATGTTTCATTATCATTCGCGTTATGTTTTTTTTGTGTATTTGCGTAACGTATTCTCTGGACCCTGGTGGACAGAAGAAAATTGTATAAACTTCCTTTCCTATTAACATGAAATCTCATTAAGCCTGTTAGTGTGAGTGTTTATATGTGTGTATGTATTTGTTTGAGTGTGTGTGTGTGTATGTGTGTGTGTGTGTG